AAAAAATGGCTTCGGTTCTGAATCATATAGTGGAAAACGAAGGTACACAAGATCACTAATATAGGTCACTTAGGGGCTTATCTCACGTAGCACCAAAGTAAGGCAAAAGCTTGACCGATCAAGCTGAAATTTATAGGAGTGACTACTGATTATGAGTCCTACAATTGCTGAAAGTTTCATGAAAATCTGATTATTTTTTCTATAGGGACCGATAACAACGTAAAACGTCCCCCGTCCTTTAGTGCACAACCTAGTATGTTTGTCTACCACGGTGGCCTTAGGTTTTTTTGAACAATTCAGTTGTAAGAATTTTGCTTGAAACTTTTTCCGCAGCTATAGCTGTTAGCTGCCGTGGCACTGTTCAGTTCTTACTGAAAAAAATGTATTCTTCTCTGGAGATATTCAATATCGAAAATTCAATTGTATACTAGGAGAAAAGGCAACTGAATTAACTTATTGTGAATGAGCAACCTTTCAAGAAGATGACATCTGTTTAATTTGAAATTTCTACAGTGTAGTAATAATATAGAGATAAAAGCTGTTGACCTGCAGACATCTGCCATACTGCCGGGTTAGGACTCTAGGCTAGATCAAGTTTTTAAATAAGATAGTGATCTATCCCTATCCATATCATATTTGACCTGATTAGCTGATGATGACAAATCGAAGTTTTTACTCTCGATGAAACTTAATTGAGTGTTTTGTGTCCTGATCAATTCTGATTAGAAGTGGTATCGTAGGTTTAAAATACATTGATAAATTTATTAAAGCGAAACGTTCTTTAAACTCTGATCATCAAAGTCAAAATGGCATGTTTTAATCATAAGACTATCAACTGCTGCGTGCCTCTATTGTCACTATTTTATATGAGCCTTGTCATACACGATATTGTCGATGTATCGATGCACTCTGTACCGCTATAAATGCTAGTAGTGTATATTAATGACATGAACTTATTTTGTCCTAATTTAGCTTTCATTGCTAAGAGTGAACCTAATATATACCTTTGAAAGTGTAAGTCAACTCAGAGAACGACATATACTCTTAGGTGGTTGATAATTCTTGTTAACTGATTGATTTTGTCTGCAATTTCACACGACCTCATAGTTGAACTATAGGAACTCAAGGAAGATTAGGAACTTTCAAGGTTCTGGGATCTCTCACAACCTGTAGAATTCAAAGTATTGAAGACATTCACAGAGCTCGTTTATTTCTAGAAAATTTTGAAATATAAGTATAAAGAACAAATAAAGTTCAACATCTTTAAAATAATCTTGAACTCATTTAATATTTTTTTTAATCAAGTCAATCATTTGTTTACATATATACTGGTTAGAGTTTACTGTAAAAATGTGAGAAGTAAATGTTTATGCTAGATTAGCAGAGATAAAGTTATCACCAGATTCGAGTATTTCCACCCCGGATTCGCCCAGGAACTTGTTCCAAATGTCCTATTCTTGTTCTAAGTACAACTCGACGAGCTCTGTCCGGTAGTATGCTCAGATTTTGCATAACCTCAATTATAATTTTCAGGTTTTGTACAGCGCCATCCATGATCCCAAAAATCACACTTTGAGCTGTGGTAAATCTGAACATATCGTTGGATAGAGCTCGTCGAGTTGTATTTGGAACAAGTTCCTGGACGAATCCAGAGTGGAAATACTCGAAGCTGGTGATAACTTCACCTACGTGCTAGATTAGTTTTGTTTTGAATAAAAGCTTTGTTGCCATAATTTTGGTGAAAATATTCAAAAGCAGAAATTTTCCGTGAACTGTTTAAGGCCCCCCCCCCCTCAAAAAAGTCAATTTTCGTCAGAAAAATCGAAATTGAGATAAATACATGGGAAGATAGCCCGTGATCTGCTCTTTCATAACTGATAAAAAGTTTTTCTCGATACCTCCTTTTTGTCCAAAATTTTCGAAGATTTTCATCACCCCCTATTCGAAAAACCCGCTGTTGTTTGAAAAATCAAAAAATGTTTTCTGTTTTTTCTCAGTTTCCACTTTCTCAAAAGCGCATCCCAAATTTCTCCTTCCTGGTTCATTCAATGTATTTTAAAATTTTTTTTTGTTTGAAAGAGTGTGAAAAACTGCAGCGGCTAGCGGAGCTCTTTTTTTGAATAAGGCTTTGTTATTATTAAATTGAAAGACACTTCTATATTTAGAGCGCCATTTTTTGAGAATTTTTCGAGTGATTGAACTTGTCAGCCCTTTTCTCCGCTTGAAAGATAAGAATTTAAATAAAAGGGCTCCGCTAGCCGCTGCAGTTTTTCACGCTCTTTCAAACAAAAAAAAATATATATATATAGAATGAAGATCCACAGAGAATTTTTGGAGATGAAATGAGCTATTTTTGACCCTTGTTTAGTCCATATCTCTGTCAAACGTCAGGATATCGAGCTGAAATTTTTACCACAGCCTCCTCACGTCAGTATCAACAAACCCTAAAAATTTCACCTTTGTAGCATGTACCTGAGCTGAGATCGGTTTTTGAGGAGGGGGCCTTAAACTGGATTTAAATTAATTTAAATAATTTAAAAAATTTAAATGTATGTAAATCCAATTTAAATTTAAAAGAAATTGACAGAAAATCTCCAACCCAATCAAGGATAATAAGGGGAGGAAAAAAAAGTTCTCAAAAATTTCCTATTGATATACTCACAGCTCATCAGCCTGAAGTCAGAGAAAATTTCTGAAAATACATTTAGAAAGAGCGGCAAATGCTGATTTTAACTGACTACTTTTTATTCTTCTCAATGGCATCTGCGTGTCCGAAAAACAAGCGAACATTTACAAGGCCTGTTAACTAAGCGCTTTGTACAAACATCGCTTTTGGTCCTTTCAAGGATTTGCTCTTAATAACCTAACCATAAGTTCGAAAAAAATTTTGAAGATATATTTAGAAAGAGCATTTCATGCTCATCCCGGTGAACTACTTTTGATTCTTTCTAGTGAGTTATACGTGGTCGAAAATTGATTAAACATGTAGTGCGAAGACTTTAGCAACAAGGGTAAAAAACGTTTCTGAAAAATGTTTAATAATATTCTCACATTTTCACCTCTCTTATTTCTTAAGCTGGAACCTTTATTTTTTCACAATAAGTATACCTTCAAATACTCTTTAAAATGACTACTAACTTGTTCAAATTAATTAAATGACTGCAGAAATATATCGATTACAAAAGTTCTGAGAATTTTTTTCCTCTCCTTAGAAATATTTTACAGACCACATAATGAAGAAAAAATTAGTCGTACTATTTACAATACTTACCATTTTTCGTTTATTTCACAGTCAAAGACAATGACAATTGAATGTAAAAATTGTTGAGCTTCAGCTAAATATTCATATTTTGATGTTATATCACGTCATCCATGTATATTGTTTTCTCAACGAAATGAGGGATAGACTGTTTCGTTACTACTGCAGTATTTATTTTATTGTTGATCAACCTTAAGAAATTGGAGGAGTAGTACTACTGGTATCCTCGGTGTGCAATGTTCATTACACTACTCCATCACTCCAGTTCTGTCTCTTTCACATGGAACACGAACTTATATGCGAGAGAGGAAGCAAGAAGAAGAGAGAAGTGAGAACAGAGAAGAAAGGATAAATAGAGAACAGAGTGAGTAGACAGCTACTATCGGTCATGAGGTCAGAGCGTCTAATCATACAGTGATTGAGTGCTCTCACATCAATTAACCGATAGAAGATGTACATGGGGTGTGACCTTATTATCGGCACAATGACGTTTTTTTTCTGAGAAAGCATTAAAATGTGATTTTGATGCACACTAAAAAATAATGTGTCGCATGTGTCGTAACGAGTACCTCGTGTCGTAATAGTGTCGCATTTCTTGCGTTCTCCGCTGAGTGATGATATATCCAGCGGAGAACGCAAGAAATGCGACACTATTGCGACACGAGGTACTCGTTGCGACACGTGCGACACATTATTTTTTAGTGTGTGGTCATTGTGAAATATACATAGGGTAGTCAAAAAGTTCTTGCAACAGCAGTCTAAAATTTCATCCTGAATAGTTTTATTCCTTTTGTTGGCCTATTCTAGTAGGGACATCTATCGTGTTTTAAAATACCAATATGAAGTTGCATAAGTGTCTGTTATGGTAAATTATTGCCCTAGTGAATGTACTGAGTTAAGGGTACCCGAAAAAGTACCCTGCTACTAGTATGTCACAGGATCTGTTGGGTACTAAAGTACCTTATCGGGTACCCTGTTACAAAATGTCCAGTAAATTGGTACTTCAAAAGACTGTTCCAATATTCAATTCGGTATTAATGCACAGTATTTGGAGGTACCCTGCTGCAAAAATTCGTGTCCACGATCGAACCTTACTTTTAGCCATCGTTCGAATCGCAGTTTTTTACGACAACACTAGTCGTAAGTATGAATTTTATAACTGACTATTAGATTTTACTTAAATCAAATTACTACATGCATCCTTTTTTTGGCTATCATAAAATAAAATTATTTGGTCAATAGAAATTATAAAATTGCATTTTTATGGAATAATATAAATAGAAAAGAGCGATTTCATATAATTTCCAGGATAAAACAATATCTATTTAATAAAAAAAATGAATTATTGCTTCACAAATATAGACAAAGGTAACGTTAAAGTAATAACTAAAAATTTACAATATATGATTCAGAACAAAGAGAAAGAAAAGTACAAGTCATAATGAGTACTGTAATGTTTATCAATTAATATACTAAATTTGTTTGTCTATACACATAAAAGCAGAATAGTATCAATAGGCAATAGAATGATACAAAACAATAATAAAGAAACTGTTTTTAAATCATCGTTAGAAAAAACAAAAAAGTAAATCAAAAATATACAATTTATAATTATGTTGCTAAGAAAATTAAAACGAATATAGTTATATAATCACTTCCATTTAAACATTATCACCTGGTGTTGTTGTACCAATTGTTGACATAGTTGATATTAACTGTTGTTAATTGTTTGGCATATTGACTATTTGTCGAGCTTCTTTTTTTTCGAATTTTTCTTTATATCATTTTCTAATGAACCCATTGATTTAATAATCTCATTCCATGTTTGTTCAATGTTAATTATTCCTGGACAACGGTATTGAACGAAATCTAAACATAAATCCGAATATTAATTTGTTTTACAAATGTATATTTATTTACCTTTTAAAAGATCAGAATGCTTCTCTAAATATTGTCGATAATTTGTTACATGGTTTGATATGGTAAACAAATGTCGAATAATGATAGTAGGTCGTTCACGTGGACCTTTGACTGCACTTGCCTCGACGCCAAAAATTTCCTAAACAACAAATTTGATTCCAAGTTGCCTTTGGGTAAAGAAAAAAAGATGTTTAGAATTATCGTCGTTTTATAAGAAAGGTATGTTTTTTTGCTTTTTAATACTTTCAACTAAATTTCAGTGACAAGTTTTCTTATTGTTTGAACATGAAAATCAAAACTATTCAGTTATATATATTCAAAGATTGCTAGAATTAGGCAATCGCTCAAGCAATATATATTTGAAGAGGTCTAAAATCCGAAAGTTTTCAAAAGAGTACTCTTACTAAAACAGGCAAGTAAAAACAACAAAAAGCAAAAATCTAGTTCTTGTGTTGTATTATTCATATTTTAAAGGTGTAACTTTTATCTAGTCTCTTGGTAAACAATAGACATCTTATAAAGTAAGTATTTACTTTAGAAAACGATGATTAAAGTAATCTATCTCTGTATATCAAAGAGGGAACTTTTTACTTTCATTTTAATTGGAATGCTTACAAATGGACGCTATAATATCAATATTTTATCGTTTATTAGTAACGTAAGCATGCATTACTCATCATTTCAAAAAGAGAAGTTATTCATGACTAGTTATCTTTCAAGTGTGGATTTTTTCATGACTATTTATTCATTTTTCTCATCTCATTTGACGAATTTTCATTGTTCGTTTAAGGAAAGAAAAAATGCTTAGTTAAGATATATAGACGATAATTATCTTACTTTGATATTTTGATTAATTTCTTCAATTTTTGGTAAAGATGGTGTTGTATTTGTTGTTCCTGGTGTGTTCAAACAAATCTAAGATAGAATCAACTATAGAAATATTATTAAGTCAAAAGTCTATGCTCGCTTTTTTTTATAGTAAAACTGTTTGACTGCTGGAATGACTCGTTCGACACGTTCCAAACGTTTTTGAAATTTGTTTAATTCTTCACGTAGAATGCTACATCCTTTGCATTCAACATCTGTTGAATCTACAAATAAAAAGATATGTAAACAGACATCTTCATTTAGTCTGCGTAGTTACCATCTATAATTGTTGTTGTTTTCTTTTTTTTCTTTGCTGGTGCTTTCTTTCGGCTTAATAATTTGTTTAACATTTTACTGCTATCATTGATGTCTGGACGTTTCTTACTAACAATTGGTGGTGCTAAAACGAACAAGTCAAATGTCGTTCGGTTGGTAATTGAAATAAATTACCTTCATCTTCATCATCATCACTTCCATCAAGTGAACTATCAAAGTCATGATGACGTTTATTCAATGTTGATGATGGATTGTATACTATGTCAAAATCTAAAAAATGGATGTATATATTTACCAGCATACCTGATATAAAAATTTTGTACCAATACTAGCTTTGTCTTTGGTTGTATAAGTAATACTAGATCTGGATGAACAATAACTTTCAGATGGTTGATCTATCGAATTTTCTTTCGAATTAATTGATGTTCGTAATGTTGAAGGTGTTTGTAATAGCAATGTTGATACGTCAAAATCGTCACATACATCATTTTCTTTTTCTTCTTCATCATCGTCAACAAATTGTCATAAATCAATTTCTTCACTACCAGTTTCACGTGCAAATTTCGTTTTATTCAAATTCATTTGTGCTTTTGAACCTTAAACAGTTTTATTTAAAACAAAAAAATCCATTAGGAGAAAAAGAATACAACAAACCTTTTGCAACAATTATTAATGGAGTTGTATCACCACAAATTTTTATTTCACCTTTATCCGTATTTATTGGATTAATATTGATGGATGTCGTTGGTATTACCGCATGTTTTGTACCTTTCATGAATGATGCTAATACATATTCTTTTGAAGAATAGCGATTGTTTATTCCTGCAGTCAATCGACACAAAGAACGAAGCATGATACAATAAATCTATAATTAAGAAAAATATCTGAAACAAGAAAATACTTTATAACCAAGAAAACAAAAAGATAATCAAATATTGGCAAAATTACTAATAAGCATGTCTTTGAGATCATCATATGAATTGTTAATCAATTATTACATGAAGTACTAATTCGCTCAAAACATAGAAATTCTCTACTTAATTATGATCCCAATCAATAACAACATCCGTAAATACGAAAACATTCTCCTCATTCCAACTCATCTTGATTACTTTATTTATAATATCGGAAACAGAAACTACTTTATATGAATATTGCTTGGCATTAAATAAACCGAAATAAGAATCAAATCGTTTAAGAATATTTTGTGGAATAATAACTGTTGTTAATCCTGCTGCTAAACTAAAATTAATGCATGAATATTTTTTTACAAATGCATAGTTAACATTGAATAATTTGAAGTAAAATAACACTTCAACAAAACATTTTTTTCTTGCTTGTATGCATTTAGAATTAGTAAGTGATACTTGATAACTAATCGCTTTTCCATCACGAGAATAAGCTTTAGAATGAAATGTTTTAAAACCACGACGATATCGACTATAATATGAATTTGTAACGTCGAATCAGTTGTAATTTGTTGTTTTGTCAAACATTCGACTAATTTTGTTTTATATTGTTCAATCATGTGTATATCAATATGACGTTCATTAAACCTTTCAGTAATAAAAATATCATTGACTTCAATGGTATTATTTTCATATAATGAACGTTCAATATTGTACCACGTGATCTATTGTTCTAGTATGTATTTTTTTCCATGACACATATTTAATGCCAAACCTAAATATGATTCACGTGCAAAGCAAGATGTCATGGATAAAGAACCATGATTCACCACCTGTTCCTTTAAATGAAGATGTAGATGAACTGTAAGTAATTCAGATTTTGGACCATATAAAATAGACAAATTTTTGTAATATTCATCAAATAATGAATCAATATCATCTAATTCTGATGCTGTTTGATAATGATATAGCGTGCGTATGTAGATAAAATAATTCAAATAATGAAGAGCATATCTGTCCGGTAAAAACAAAATAAAAAAAACTGGAGAAATGTAAATCATAAATTCTCTAAAAGTGAAGCGTAGTAGTAATATAGAACAATAAATAGTAAAAACAAACGAACTTACCTGAAGAATTTTGTTTTCCAAGTATTATAATCAACTAAAGGCATGAACTGATATTTGAAATGATGTGGTAATGCTACTGATGTTAAATAATTTGATACTTCTAAAAAAACATGTGGTAACAACATCTTGTGCCAATAACCAATTAAGGTTTTCATGTGTCCACTGCAAGACAAATGCATATAATCAATAGAGATTTGAGATGGAAATAATAAAATATGTGTTAGTGGTGTTGCACCTTTATTACCAAAAGTTGTAATGCTTGCAGAATTTGATACTCCATGTCGTCGATAATCATCAACTATTTTTCTTGGATATGGATTAGGTGAATACGGATAGAAGACTTGTTTATCAATTGATACACCTGGTATTGTACAGAATGGACAAGTATAATATCCGTTATATTGTGCCACGTTGCAATTTAATGCAAGGGCCGGCAGATCAAATGTGATTAACTGAATTCGGACAATAAATTTTAATTGACAATAATTTTAACTGAAATTTCTTCAGCAAAAAGTTGTTGAATTTGATGAACAATATTGGTCCATAAAAGATTCCTATCCGGGTGACGGTTGCTAAACCAAATTCCGAACATCATGGTGGCCTTTTTATCGTCTCTTATCGGTGGTGGAATTTCACATAAAGTAGCTTGGAGCGGCCACAAGGATTTACCACCATATTTAGTTACCTGTCCACCATCAATATGGAGCATAATTGTAATTTGATGTTGATTCTTTTTGATAGATGTTGTGGAAGATAATGTTTGATAAATATCAGCATTTGGTACATCACATGGCAGCAATCGTTTGGATTGATTTAGATAATCATTAATTACATTGGCATATCGTACAATACTATTACGAATTTCATTTTGTTAATTCACTAACATTTGAAAAAGGACGATATTTATTATTCAATGCACAATTTGGCAAACATATCGTTTGTTGTGGTGTAGTCAAATGGGTAAGACATTCCGTACAATAGTAAATAACTTTTTTATTGTTATTAAAACCTGAACGAAATATGAGTAAATAAGCTTTAAGAGATAAAATTAAAGACTAACCACCAAGAATTTTCATAAGGCCCACGATTGTTCTTGGCAAATTGTTGTCGCTTGGTAATAAAGATCTTATGCCATTTAACAAAATTGTTGTTTTACTTTTATCTAAATTTAATCGGCGAGATAATTTGATAATTATTTCGCATGCATCACATATTGATAAAAAACTATTGGTATAAATTTTTCGTTGATAATTCATATCAGCCGCATGAAATAATTCATCAAGATCATCATCATCATCATTGACAGCGTCTGCACTAGATGATGAAGAGGAAACAGCATTATCTGATTGTTGTGCAGCTAAATTATCAATTTGAAATGTATTACATGAAGCTGATTGGTCATTAATTAATAATGTTTTTGGTATGGTGATGTCCATTTCAGCGTCGGATGTATCATCCTCACTGCTTTTGATGGCGGCAGCGAGCATTTCCTCTCTCTCTGCAGCACGCTTTTGTCGTTTTCGTTCAGCATTACTTGTCGAAAAAAAATTACGCGACATCTAAAACAAAATTTTTTAAATAAGAAATAAAATTAAACACGCACTTTTGAACACAATCGTGACAGAAGAATTCGGAAATAAAAAAAGGAATAAATGCACATCAATTTTTCATTGCTAGTACTTCATCATCTTTACGATTTTGCTATTTAGTTTCGACAAATATAATGTTCGTCAAAAACGAGTATTTTGGCAAAAAAAAATCAAAAATTTTATTGTTTCGTAACTTAGCATAGTCACATTAATTTTTTTTTCATAAAATCTTCAAATCCTATCTTTCGTTCTTGTAAAAAATCTAAAAATGCAACGATGAATCGTCTATATCTATTATGCACGTTGATATACATTTCTCGGAAAACAATGCATCGATCGCCATTGCCATTGGATTATATCTATGACCTCGATTAATATAATTATCGTTTAAATTAACAAAATATATTGTAAAAATAATATAGAGAAGTCTACTATATCGTTTTCAATCTACAAGATGTATTTTGTTAAAATGCACTACTGTGTCTTTTTTATACAGTGCGTCATGATAGAAGCCAACCTCAGGTACCCTGTTGAATTTTTCTCAGTAAATTTACTGATTCAGGTACCTACACAAGTACTCATTCAGTAAACATACTGACATGGGTACTTGATAAAGTACCTACAACGGTATGATTACTTCAAAATTTATATAGTACCCATATCGGGTACCCTACTGGAGCTTCCTCAGTATACGGGTACCCTTAACTCAGTACATTCACTAGGGTGGTAACTTTTTTGAACATCTCTGTTTTCATATGGATAAACTGTATTTACACTCATATGTAAAAATTCGTTTGTTATTGGGTTTAACTGCTACACAAATTCATGATGAATTAACTACTGCTTATGGACAAGGTGTTGTTGCATATCGCACAGTTGCTCATTGGGTTCATCGATTTTCAAGTGGACGGAAGTCGTTAGACGACGATCCCCGAAGTGGTCATCCGTTATCCGTCATTACTCAACAAAATTTTGAAGCTGTTAAAGACCTGGTGAATGGCGATCCACATATTAGTATTGATTATATTGCTGACATGTTAGATATATCACATGGTAGTGCGGATACTATTCTCAAACACCACCTTAAATTAAAAAAAGTATCGCCAAAATGGATACCTCATAAACTCACATCAGCACAACGACAACGTCGTGTTGATATTTGTAGCGAAAATTTACAGAAGATTCAAAGTAGTGCATGGAAATTATGTGATATAGTTACTGGTGATGAAAGTTGATTTTATCATCGTAAAATTAAATCAAAACAAGAATCGAAAACTTGGATAGCACAAGGAACAAGCCCTCCCACAGAAGTGAGAAGACAACAATTTGAAGAAAAAACAATGTTCGTTATATTTTTTATGACAAATGGACCTTTACTTATTCATCATCTAACTCCTGGAACATCGATCAATGCCAAATATTATCGTGATGAATGTTTAAAAAGTCTAGTATAAAACCTATACAGAAAAAGACCATCATCAACAGCAAATCATGTGAAGCTGCATCATGATAATGCAAGACCACATATGAAGGATATTGTTTTTAATTATCTTAAAGAAGAAAAAATCAAAGTTATGGCCCATCCACCATATTCACCTGACCTTGCCCCTTCGGACTTCTGGTTATTCAGTTGTCTGAAACGTAGTCTTGGTACATATCCAGATGCTAGAAGTTTGGCTGAAGCATTATCCAAGGAGCTCAATTCAATACCTGTTCCAGAATAACGAAAGACATTCCAGAAGTGGATTGAAAGGATGAAACTTTGTATCGAACATCGTGGTGACTACTTCGAACATTTACTGTAAAAAGATTAGCAGAATGTTTTTTCTATGAATAAATATTTGAAAGTGCAAGAACTTATTGACTACTCTACGTATATAAATAATCGTCATGTAGTATTCTCATGTTCAACTTGTCAAATGTTTTTTTTTCACGTGGAATGCAAACTGAAATGATTCGATCCTGTCGAACAAAAAGAAAGCAAAAGAAATAACGGGTCTAGTACAAACCATATCAAAAATTTTAGTCAAGTTAAACGAACCTGAACAGAAGAGACTATTTGATTATCATATTTAAGTCAATAATAAATGTTAGTACGAGTGAAGCTTTAAACAATAGGCTAATTCTTTTCTTTAACTCTTCACAATCTTTTACGAAACAGAAGCTTACAATTACTTATAAATACAAGTAACGCACATCCTTCAGATTCGCTGATCCTTTTCTGAAAGAATGGCACTTTATTTTGAATGAAAAACTACTCATCATGATCTCGTAAGATTTTGGTCCTGAAATATTTAGGAGTTGGAAAAAAACATAAATTTCTCTTAACTTGACTCGGTGAAAAGTATTTTTCACAAATAAAAGACAAGTTGTCGGGAAATTCATATTTATTTTCTTCATTTTGATCTGGAACTCGCTTGAGATGGATCTCAGAGTTTCATTTTGTAAACAGCACTTGCAAAGAAAAGTAGTTGTTGAAGTCTGTAATACTAACAACGATAATGTATCTTTTGAAAAACAAAATTATACACAGAATTACATCAATAATTTATCTGCACAGTTATCTATTTTCATTAGAGTATGTGCATCTTTACTGAGAGCTTTTTAGAATGACACAAACTTTCATTACAGCAACTATGCCAGACTCATTGACATACTATAATAGTAAAGATTAGAGATGAGTTCAACAGTAGAAAAAATAATCAATGTGAAAATTAAAAAAATGCAATCTATGATAATGTTCCAGGTCTCCTTGTCGATGTTTCAAGTAGAACTTGGCATGCTTTATCGAATGTTATTATGAGATTTCCGATATGTAGTATCCTATTTTGAAAAGTTGCAATATACTAATGTGGGCGCGAGACTTTAAGGTACTCTGTTAAAAATTGAATAAGTCAAGAATGCAAGCAGCTAGTGGTCTGTGGTTTTCAGCAATCGAAAGAAAACGCATGGGAACAGCTTTTTAGACTATAATATATAGGACAAAATCAGTTTGAAACCAATGTTTTTCGCAAAACATTCAAAAAACTGTTTGAAAATCATCTGTTATTCCGAAGAAATTTTGATAACAAGAAAATTTCCTTGAAAATCAACAAAATTCCATATTACTGAACTATAGATCTCAAGTTCCCCTATCTACGAGGGATGTCAAAATCAAAATTTCATCTAGATGACAGACGATTTTCATACATTTTTTGAATGTTTTACGAAAATCATTGGGTTCGAAACGATTTTGTCCTCTATAGTATTGGAGAAAAAGACGTTCCCATGTCTTCTCTTTCGATTGCTGAAAATTGCAGATTGCCAGCTGCTTGCATTCTCGACTTATTCAACTTTTTACCGAGTATTTTTAAGTCTCATCTCGACATTAGTTGAGTCATTTTGGCGACGATTCGTCTAAGACTGTGTTCGAGTAGAAATCGACCAGCTATATCGAATGGCATAATTAGAGTTTCCATAGTTCAAATAGTTTCTGCAAAAATTTGTATATGAAGGTATTTTGGTATATAGACCAATTTTGTTTCCTTATGCCTGTGAAAGATTGATTCTGAAACTCGTTCTAGAAAATATTTACTCATTGCATAGGATCAAGAAACTTCTCGTAAAAGTATTTTTAGACAAATAGTAAATGACGACCTATACAAGAGCTTTCAAAGATCGATTTGTGCTACAAAGTTAGGCACCATTGATGTATCACGTAGTATTTTATTGATAGGTAAGCTCTGTATGTGTATCAAAATATTGATTCGCATTAGATTTTTCAAATGTGATGGAAGAATGTTTTCTGTGAAAGTTCAAGGCGTAACCTTGCCACAATGTGAGATAGCAAATCTTTCTTTATTTTTTTCTAAACGGTTATTTCATTAGATATAGTACATTTAATCTAATCAAAATTTTAATAACAGTTGTTTATAGTTTTCCATTACAGAGGATTAGAAAGCGAACAAAAAATTAATTTTTCAATACATATAGAACTGCTTCAGTATAATAAAAGGAAAAGTGCACTTCTGTACCGCTGTCAAGATCATTTTTTTGCCTAAGTCACTAATTCCTAATATGAGAGTTTTACTTCA